GCAACTTAGAGAAGAAACATTCGGAACATTGAAAAAAACTTAAGGAACATTGAAAATGAACTTACGAAACATTGGAACATTGGAAATGAACAGACAAAACATTTAAAAAGAACATACGGTACACACGGAACATTGAAAATGAACTTATAGAACATTGAAAATGAATTTACAGAACATTGAAAAGGAACATACAGAACAATGAAAAGGAACTCACGGAATATTAAAAATGAACATTGAAAATGAATGTACGGAATATTGAAAATGAACATGTGGAACATTTAAAGGAACATACGGAACAATATGAAAATGAACATACGGAAAATTGAAAATTAACATACGGAACATTGATAATGATTTAACGAAACATTGAAAATGAACTTATGGTACATTGAAAAGGAACATACGGAACTTTGAAAAATGAACATACGGAACATAGATAGATCTAATTCACTTACGGAAAAACGGAGAATTGAAAAGGAACATTGAAAATAAACATGCGGAACATTGAAAATGAACTTACTGAACATTGATAATGAATATACGGAACATTCAAAATGCACTTACAGAAAACTGAAAAGGAAAATACGGATGGAACATTGATATTGATCTTACTGAACATTTAAAATGAACATACGGAGCATTGAAAATGAACTGATGGAACATTGAAAATGAACATATGGAACACTGAAAATGAACATAAGGAACATTGAAAAGGAGCATAAAGGAAAATTGAAAATGAACATACAGAACTTTAAAAAGGAACATACGTAACATTGAAATTTCGGAACATTGACAATGAACATATGGAACATTGAAAAGAAAGTAAAGAAACTTTGAAAAAAAAAAACAAATTGAAAATTGAAAATGAACTTACGGAACTTTATAAAAAAGGAACTTGCGGAACATTGAAAAAAAAACTTACGGAGCATTTAAAATGAACTTAAGGGACATTGAAAATGAACATACGGAAACCTTTTAAAGGAGCATATGGAACATTGAAAATGAACTTAAGGAACTTTAAAAAAGGAACATACGGAACATTTAAAATGAACTAAAGGAACATTGAAATTGAACATATGGAACATTGAGAAGAAACTTAAGTAACAATGAAAAGAAACATATGAAAAATTGAAAATGAACTTACGAAACTTTAAAAAGGAACATACGGAATTTTGAAAATGAACTTACAGAACATTGAAAATGAACTTACGGAAAATTGCAAATGAACATACAGAACTTTGAAATGGAACTTTCGGAACATTGAAAAGGAACTTATGGAAAGTTGAAAATGAACTTACGAAACTTTAAAAAGGAACATAGGAACATTGAAAATGAACTAACGGAACATTGAAAATGAACATTGGGAACATTGAAAAGGAACTTAAGAAATATTGAAAAGGAGCAAACAAAACATTGAAAATGAACTTATCGAACATTGAACATTTCAGATATAAGAACAAAGGTCAGGAGTGAATAAGATAACAATATAACAATATAAATAGTGTATAAATCTTCATCATAGAGGAGATAGTTAGATGTATATATTCGAATATTCTAACAATAGCTATTTTATTTCAAATATATGCAAATACCTTTCGTAGATCATTTAAAAAAATGATAATAAACGATTTAGTTTTAAAAACCAAATTAAGAGAAATCAAATGTAAATTAGGACTTTAAAAGTCCTAATGTTGAGCTAAAAAGCGAAAAATATATGCATGTAATAAAAACCTAATTTGAACTTTAAAATGTCCTAGAGCGCAATAATAGTAATTCATCATATAATGTCATATTAAATGATATAGAACTAAATATAGATTCCTTGTTTAAGGGATATTTTGTAAAGAACATCTAAATGAAACGTTTTGATTTTTAATATCATTTGAAAAAAATCTTGAAACTGTGCTTATTGTAGACCATTCCATTTAGCAAATCTTTGCTCATCTTAAGTCGGCAGATGGATCGGATCATTCCTCAATGTCCTTCATTTAAAGATACCGGATGCAAACATTTATTAAATGTTATTTGGAGGTTAATACAATGTATTTCCTTGCTGATCGTCATTATACGATTAAGGTCCGAAGATGTGCATTATGGTCTGAGGAGTTTATGGCTTGGAGGACCATTATTGTGTGGCAGCAACCAAGTTTTAACGTAATTAATACATATCTTGGATATACAGAATTTTGATATCGCCGCGAATTTAGGTAGCACGCCACAGCCAATGTAGTCAATCATAACACGATCATGTATATACGAGGGCTGTCCAAAAAATTCGTGCACTGCAGTTATTGTCGTGAGAGTTCTTGATATAAAAACATTAATTATATATCACTTGAAGGGGAGATCTGTCTCAAATGAGAAAACAAAAGAAAAAAACGTGTAACCGGCATGTCGTGAAAACGAATCATCATACAGTTACCTTGGTAACGTAATACCGGCGCATGACAAAAAATTGGGTTAGTGCATTACTTTGATGCATCACGGTTTTCTTAAACACAACATACAAGCGTTAAAATTCAGGGAAAAGTATGTTTACGTATTCCAAACGTCACTATAAAATATAACGTCATTTGCCCTATTGTAATGTCGTAAACAAACATTTGTGTGAGGTCGTCAATATTGTAATTACGTAAAAATGTCAGTCGCTAAACGTCTGGAAATACGTACGATCATTACATTTTGTGCAAATATTGGTAAAACACAAGCAAATACCTACAAAGAACTTATTAGGGCAAGCGGGGACAAATTCAGTGTCACCAAGGCTGGTTTTTAAATGGCACAAACGCTCTGTAGAAGGGCGAGAGTCGGTATACGATGACAACCGGTCAGGCAGACGTCCATCCATAATGCCGGCATATGTGACGAGGGTTGTCCAATATATTCGTTCACTGGTGGGATAGTTACATGTCCGTTGCATAAGAACAATAAAAACTACAACATACTTTGACAGTAAAACAAATAATAACATAAAAGACAAATGCCACTTTACAAGCAACAAACAATTAATACAATTACAGTAATGAACTAACCCATTTTTTTGCCGTGCGCCGGTATTACGTTACTAAGGTAACTAAATGACCATTCTTTTACACGACACGCCAGTTACCCGGCTTTTTCTTTTGTTTTCTTATTTGAGACAGATTTCCCCTTCAAGTGATATATAATTCATTTGTTTTTATTAATAACTCTTACGACAATTACTGCAGTGCACGAATTTTTTGGACAACCCTCGTATCATAATGAGTTGTGCGGCAAACTATGGCAAAACACAAGTAGTTAAACGATAACTTAGATGAGCTGTTTAACCAATATTTAAACATGTTATTTGCTTGAACATATAAGCGTTTCTAGAAAAGAGAAACAAACGTTGAATCCTATCCTTTATGTTTTGGAATATGACTTCCACAAACTTATCCTTATGTTTAAATATGATATAACAGTGCCTCGATAGAATCTTAATATGAAAACTGTATTTAGATATTTGTTGCATGACTCCTGTTATTGCAAAACTGGTTGCGAGACATGTGCAAAAAGATTGTGTCAACAGAACTAGTTTTGCAATAGATTTATTAACGAGTTTTGCAATAGATTTATTGACAAATTCGTTTTATTGCAAAACCGGTTTGTGAAAAACTGCCCGTGATACTTGATAATGCAATCAGCGAGGCTTTCCTAAATATATAGTAAAATATTGTGATTAAATGCCGAGCTGGAAAAGCAATCTAGCGGGACATGTTCACCTCAATAAGGTAATGTGCAGAACCCATGTTACCCTTTTGCCGGCTTAAGGTAAAGGTCACACTTTAATGTCAAAAATATTCTTAAATTTAAAAATGTATTTGAATATTTCTGAAACTAGAAAATTAATGTATTTGCTTATAACTTTAAATATATATGAAGTGTCAGAATTAAGATATGCAGGTCAACTTTCATAACTCTGTATTGCTTTCTGACAAAGTTATGCCCCTTTTTAAGTCTTCAAATTTGTAAACAATCAAATATTAGACAATATGTCGTGTTCGCTCTATAAATCATATACATGTACTAATGGAAGAATTTTCTTCAAACTTTACTGCAATGTTCACCTCAACAAGGTTATGTGCAGAACCCATGTTACCTTGTGCCGGCTAAAGGTCAAGGTCACGTTTGAAGGTCAAAAATTGACTTAGAAAATGTTCTTAAATTTTAACATGTACTTGAATATTTCTGAAACTAGCACAGATATTTACTTGAAACTTCAAATATATACGAAGTGTCGCAAGCAAGATATGCAGGTCAAGTTTCATAACTAAAACTGATGGGGATAACTTTGTATTGTATTTTGACAAAGTTAAGTCCATTTTTATGTCTTTAAATTTATTTACTATAATGTTTCTTAAACCAGAACAGATATTTACTTGAAACCTAAAATTTAAATGAATGGTTACAAGCAAGCTCAGATGACGAAAACTCTACAATTACATTGAATTATGACACAAGTTATGCCCCTTTTAGGCTTAGAAAATGTTCTGATATAACCATTACTACTTACCCAGATAGCATTCTATATGGGACCCATGTGGGGCCCATATGGGCACCTATATGGGTCCCATTTGGGCTGCCCATATGGGCCCCATATAGGAAGTGCAACCGGGTTCCAAATGGGTCCCATCTGGGCAGCCCTTATACTCAATATGGGATTCACATGGGCCCCATCTGGGCAGCCCATGTACACAATATGGGCCCCATATGGGCAGCCCTTGTACTAAATATGGGTTTCAAATGGGCAGCCCAGATACTTCCATTATGGGTAGATTTTGAATTCCGGGGTAGATCTATTTTCAATTACTTCAATTATAAGTTTGCTGAACGTTTAGATAGCAACCGCTTGCTACAGAGCATGATTCTTGTACTTGCGTTAAATATTCAAGTGATGTTTTAACTTATTCTGTTTCCTGGAACAGACAGATTATGGCACAAAGCCTTTATGATCATGCAAGAAAACAATACACAATGTATATGCTTTAACAATGTAACTTTATTTAGTAATCTCACTTATGGTAAGTGTATCATCATATATATACAAATACATTCTGTGGACGCCTGATGTCAACAAATGTAGTAAATATTACTTTGGTACACTAAATAAGCAACATGTAATGGAAAACTGTTTATAATGTACGAACAGAATAATTAACAAGAGCTGTCGGTAGGACAGCAACGCTCGACTATTCTTAGTGCTTGATAGTAAAAAAAATGCTTGATACAGTTACCTCCTCCTCTTTACAGGTTGGGGTCATGATGGTGAACAAGTGTGCAAAGTTTCAAAGCCATATGTCAATGGACTTTGAAAATATTTGAACTATTACAAAAACTTTAACGTAAATTCTAAGTCGAAAAAGGGGCATAATTCTGTCAAAATGCTTGATAGAGTTACCTCCTCCTGTCTACAGGTTGGGGTCATGATGGTGAACAAGTGTGCAAAGTTTCAAAGCCATATGTCAGTGGACTTTGAAAATATTTGAACTATTACAAAAACTTTAACGTAAATTCTAACTCGAAAAAGGGGCATAATTCTGTCAAAATGCTTGATAGAGTTACCTTCTCCTGTCTACAGGTTTGGGTCATGATGGTGAACAAGTGTGCAAAGTTTCAAAGCCATATGTCAATGGACTTTGAAAATAGTTGAACTATTACAAAAACTTTAACATAAGTGGTTACGCCGACGCTCGGATGACTGCAATAGCTCTACTTATTCTTATCGAATAGTCGAGCTAAAAATGCAGTTTTATAACATTAAATATCTTACAGATCACTATAAGGAAAAATAAAACTTATGCTAGACACTGGTAAAACTTTACAGAAGGTCTTTGGAACTCCAAGAAATATATGTGTATAATGTTTAAATTTCAGTGAATCAACAGTATGACCCCAAATGTCTTTTTAACTTTCTACATAATTCATAGAAAAAGTATTATACATTTACTGTAATTCATTACAAATTTCTATCTACCAATTACTTTCATTTTCAAATGATATAGATCTACATCAATTAATGTAAAAAGTTGTTCATTACAACCATGTATTACACTTTGGTATGGTAGTGCTGAAGAAAACAAGAGCTGTCAGAAGGACAGCGCGCTCGACTTTTTTAGTGCTTGCCTATAAAACAAAACTTTGACAGTTAAGGGCACACAAGACTTTAACTAGGAATTTCTAAGTACAAATCAAGAAACATTTTCACAGAGTTATCTTCTCTTGCTTACAGATAGGTCTCATGATGGCACATAAGAACTCCAACTTCCAAAGTAATATCTCAAATGGTTAAGTCAACAAGTGGACAAGAATGAAAATCTTAACTGAGTTTCTAAGTCAAAAAGGGCCATAATTCAAATAAAATCCTTAACAGAATTACCTTCTCCTGCCCATGTTTTGGGACCATGATGGTAAACAAGTATTCCAACTTTCAAATTAATATCTCAAACAGTTCAGTCAAAAAGTGGACTGGTACTAAAAACTTAACCAAGATTCTAAGTCGATAAAAGGCCTTAATTTTTAAAACAAATCCTTGACAGAGTTACCTTCTCTTGCGTACAGATGGGGTAATGATGTGAAATAGCATTAAAAGTTTCAAAGCAATATCTCAAAGGGTTAAGGCAATAAGTGGATTTTACCCATATTCAATGTATTTTCTAAGTCAAAAAGGGGCATAATTCTGTCAAAAACCTTGACAGAGTTATGTCCTCTTGTCTGTTGATGAAGGTCGTGATGGTAAACAAGTATGGTCAGTTTCAAAGCAATACCTCCAATGGTTTTGAAATAAAGTGAGGTGGTACAAAAAACTTAACCAAGCTCAATACACTTTCTAAGTCAAAAAAGGGCCATAATTCTGTCAAAAACCTTGACAGAGTTATGTACTCTTGTCTGTAGATGGAGGTTATGATGGTGAACAAGTATGGTAAGTTTCAAAGCCATACTTGTAATACTTCTGAAATAAAGTGGGGTGGTACGAAAAACTTAACCAAGGTGTGACGCCAACGCCGACGCCGGGGGGCGAGTAGGATAGCTCCCCTTTTCATAGAAAAGTCGAGCTAAAAATGTTATGCAGCTCGTGAAAAGTAACAAATATAATAAAACAAAACCTTGGCACAGTTGTAATACTGTTCATAGATGTGTAAACAAAATATTATGCAGCTGATGAAAAAAAATTAATTTAATTAACAAAACCTTGGCACGGTTGTAATACTGTTCATATATGTGTAAACAAAATATTATGCAGCTGATGAAAAAAAATTAATATAATTAAAAAAACCTTGGCACGGTTGTAATACTGTTTATAGACGTGTGGACAAAATATGCAGCTAATGAAAAGTAACAAATATAATACACAAAAGGTTGGCACTGTTGTAATTGTCAACAAAATATGCAGCTAATGAAAAGTAACAAAAAGTAATACAAAAAAGGTTGGCACGGTTGTAATACTGTTTATATAGACGTGTTAACAAAATATGCAGCTAAAGTAACAAATATGATACACAAAAGGTTGGCACGGTTGTAATTCTGTTAATAGACGTGTAAACAAAATATGCAGCTTATGAAAAGTAACAAATATAAAACACAAAATCTTGGCACATTGAAATACTGTTTATAGACATGTAAACAAAATATGCAGCTGATGAAAAGTAAAAAATAGTTTGTACAAGTTTGTAAAAATCAATAATAATTAAAATGTGATATTACACAAAGATCAAATTTGTTGTGAAGAAATTCATTAAAAAAATTGTCAGTAAAAATAGTTGGTTTCAGTAATTTCTCCGATATTAAGTTTCAACAATAACAACACTAAAGATTACAAGAATCATCATTGTAAAGTATTTCAACTTTATTTTAAAGGTTAATACCATATCAATACATGTGTTCCCTGTCAGTGTCAAGTTTTGACAAGATGTTATAATTGTATTGATCAGTATCAAAAACATTTCCCAAGCATTTATTGTCTTGATTTAAATATTTACAATGTTTTTTGTTTGTTTGTTTCATTTTACGCCTTTTACGTCATATAGGCGGGTAGTTTCCTAACCATCGTTTCTGGAGAGTTACACCAGTACTAGACTACCTTCCTCCGTACAGTAACAATGTTTAATGGAAAAAAAACAACAGCATATAGACAACAGAAAAACAGCATATAATGTCAACAACAAACATAACATAGCAGCAGAATATACTGACTAGAAGGCAAAATTTGACTAGACAAGAATTTTGCATTTACAAGAAAGACATGCTATGCTGATGACCTCAAACATTAAAATTAGCAACAAAAAGTATAACAAGATAAACAAATGAGCCGCTTACTGTAGTTCTGACCCTTATCACATTTTAAAAATACCTTGATACATATTGACTTTCAATCAGTGGAATAACTTATATGCAGATGAAGTAAAGGTTTGAAAATGTAAAATAAAAGTCATTTATTTTATGCTTTTGAGTGTATTACTGATGCATCCGTGAAAAATATATTTGTGAATTTCACAGTGAAATGATTAAAATTTCAAACTTTTTTATGACGAGACTACTTTTTAAAGATTTTATTATCATTCAAATTTTTTGAATTCAATAAATAATATCATGGCTATTCAACGTTGATTGTCAAACTTATTTTTCAGCCCAAGACTTCCTGTATTTATGAGAAATTGGACTTAAATTCAACTAAAATTGATGTTAACAGTGGGGAAAACAGATTTAATATTAACGTTAATATTGAGGAAATTTCATTAGCATAAAATAAAAAGACACTTTATTGTTTGTTGTGTAAGATGTAATTTTATATCATTGAAGGAACTTTAAAAAAACAGTGTTCTCACGAGCGCATAGCCACTCACGAGAATACTGTTTTTAAAGCTCTCTTGATGATATAAAATTTCATCTTACACACAAACAAACAAATATCCTCTATAAATTTGCATTTTTAAATTAAAAACATGTCTAGTCACTTCCTTCATTTTCTTCAGGTAAGGTCTCTGACACTTTGTTTCTTGCTTTCCTTCCCCCATCGCGGTCCCGCGCCCTAGCCAGCCACTTTGAAACCTCTATTTCAACATCCTTCCTCGTTGCAGCCTTTGTCGGCAAGTTCCTTTGGACACATTCTACAAAACAAGCATTCTTATCCTTAAAGAATGAAATGAAGTGAAATGAAGGTATTGAAACCATTCAAAGGTCATAAGCCACCTTGTAGCATTTTGAGCAGTATAAATTGGAATATAAACTAATTCTGGTATGTTTTACCAAATAAAGATGTTTGTTTCCTGGTTTTACATAGCTTTTCAAAATATTTCTGTGATATCGCTGCAGTCAGTTGTAAGCTAAGATCATCTTATCGGTGTATCAGTAAGTAAAGAATGTTAAGGTAAGCAAATAGTTGCTTTACAGGAAGGTGATTTCTGTTTATATTATGCATCACAACACAATGCATGGGATCAAAACCATACAGCATGTAAAATATTCTCTCTTATTAATTTCCATAAAAGCTAGTCAAGCATTTTCCTTCATTAAAGCAATACCGAAGACACAATAACAAGAGCTTGGATAATATATCTATTTTGAAGACACCACTTTGCAAATTTGTAAAATATCACTTACTATACAATACATTCAGTATCTAGAGGCCCACAAACTTTTTCTTCCCCTTCAGCCACTTCATATTGTACATTCTTGCCAGTTCATTTGACATGGTTTCTTTCATCAAGCTGTCAACAGTTTCCCGTACATCTGCCATACCAAACATTGAGAGGAACCGCACCTTAAATAAAGCAGAACATAAACTTTTTTTAATATTAATTTTAACACTACTAAGTGATGGGCTGCAAGTCACCAAATGACAAATAATTGTCAACTGGACCTCAAAAAACATGATCTGCCAAGAAAACTGTTTGGATTGACAAATTAAAAGATCTTTCCTCATATATTTACAGCCTAGGACAACACCTTAGTGACTTATGCCTTTATGTTTGTCCCCTTCACCGAGTGTTATGGGGCACATTATCATTGTTTTTTTTTATACAAGAGTTTATTCAATATCAACAGAATAATTTTTTGATAATATAATAACAGCTCAATTCCTGGATTTTGTGGGTACTAGTCATTTTCCTGGTATTTTGAAAGCTGCCAGCCTTTTCATTAATGAATTGACTGTCTTGTCCTAATTAATAATTAATGTTGAAAACGAGGCCAACTGCCCATGTCTTGTGCTCATGGCTATTATAGCATATATAAATAACATAACTGTGTCAATATGAATCAAAAAATTAAAACATGCCAGTTTTTAATTCTGAAATTAATGCAGCAAAGTGTTTGTCCACTGTGCAATATTTTCCAACATAAATATAGCAGAAATGATTATACATTATCATCAAAGTGCTCACCACAGACCATTATGTTATTTCACTTTTAGGCCAGTGGATATGGGGTATACTTTTTTTCAGTTACTAATGGAGCAACATACATGACTAACACTATGCTTACCACAGATGAGAGCATTGTCTGATCTCCCAGAAGCTTATCGAATGCTTCCATCTGCTCAGGATAACCAATAGGGAATGAGATATATTTCAGAAGTTGCAGCGGTTGGTCATCTGCTGCTGACCTTAACAGCATTTGCTGCACCATCATCTTAATTTCACGATTCTTCTCTCGCATTGTCTCCAAGACTCGGAGAATCTGTGTAACAGCAGCTGAAAAAAAGGATTCATAATTCTAGGCCATATACTTTTAGAGCTATGTGTGGTCTGGATCCATGCTGTTCGCAAACCCATTATGTTGGTTTTGTCATGACCCGGCTCAAATGAAAAAAATCCAGTATTTTAAATTTTCCTTGGCTTTAACAGTAATTAACCCTAAAATCTCAAAAGGATTGTTGAGTGTGCAAGGTCACAAAATGTGAAAATGATAAGAAATCATGAATTAAACTTAACATATTTTTGAGCCTAGGCATGTCATTTGGTGAAAATTAACATTCTTGACTCTTTCCAGGGACCGTAACTTTGGATAACAGTAGTGGGGTCAGGCAAGAATATGCGCACAAATTCACATCATGATAAAGACTAACACAAGTAATCATCAATTTCTTTTGAATATTTTTTGAACTAGGGGTGTCACAAGGTGAAACTTTCCATTTTGGCTATGTCACTCAATCCAGCTTGTTATAACATTTATTGACTTGTTTTGAGAATATAACATTTAATAAGTATGTACTGTAATAATAAATATATTTATAGCTCCGAAGTTTATACTTACTGGGCCCAATAATCTGCCCACGGAAGGGTGTATGAGAAGCACCTTGTATTGGAGAAGCACTTTGCACATCACTGCTAGCCTCTCGCAATGCCTGTGCAGATAAGCGAGGCGGAGATGAAAGTAGGCTTTGTGACTCTTTGGGCGTTGTTGCTTGGTCAATAACTTGTGGTGGCCTACTCTCTGTGGCTGTCTCATTCTCATCAGTGCCACTATCCGATTCATACAGCCTTTTTGATGGCCTATTTACAATAAAAATGAAAATACATTAATAAGTAATTATAAAAATACATATACATTAAGTGAGTTATTGCGCCAAGTGACAATACGATTATGACCCGTAATCGGCTGGCAAACATGTACTAGTCTATGTTTACGTACCGAATTGTTGTGCCGCAATTTTGTCTACAAGGATTTTTAGCACGAATGCGTTTGTTTCCCGATAGATACATGTATTTAATGAACGGGAAGGGCTAAAGACTTGGTCGTCGTCCCATTTGGAAGCTTAATACAAACGTGAAAGTGATAAAAAATTTTTTTAATTGTCTGGACAATTGTTTTTCACAACGGCCCGGGAAGTGAATCCCTTGCTTGCAGGCTCGAATCTGGAGTTTCTGGCCTTTTCTTAACTTAAAGTAAGTTTCTAAAGGGGGGTATAATTTACAATTTTTTTTTCGGTTTTTGACTTTTAAAAGATGAACACAGGTTTAATTATCTTCGGGTCCTATGTTTTTCTTCCCAGGTCCGATACTCGTGCCTGTGCAACATAGGGCTTGGTTGGTACTTGGAAAAAAATACTTGAATTTGTAATAAAGTATTTGCATTTAATATTTTTAAAAATGCTTATGAATGAAATATTGGTTCAAAATGGAAGGGACTTCTAAGGCTAGGAGGGATCACTGGATTTCAAATGATGGTGTCCCTTTAAAAAAAGGATCTCTTAAAATTTAGTCTACATAGAAACAATATTATTAAAATGTTAGTGTCGACTCCGTCACAGTTAAGTTATTCAACAATAACAACTATACACATCCATAGGTCCTAAAGTGCCTAAAAGTGGGCGTAAATTCTAGAAAATGTCGCAAATTAAACTGACAAAAACTATCGCGAAATTACATGGCAAAGGCAAAAACAAAAAAATAAATGACGTTTACACTTACCTACACACACAATAAATCTGTAAGGATATAATATGATGAAAGGTCGTTATACGAAATCGTCGTTTAATGTTCCGAATTGAAATGAAATATTGTTTTCGTGTACAATTTTACAATTTAACGTTTCAATACACAATTTGATTTTAAGCGGCAGCGGAAATCACGTCTGCGGCATGCTCGAAATAAATTTTTCATCAAATGCTGATTTTTATAAATTATTTCTGAATTAATAGTCTAAAAACACAGTTTTATATTTAGATTATAAAAATTAAACCAATATAAAAACTAAACAAATTAATTTCTCGCACCTGCTCAGGCATGCTAATATTTATTGGGTTGCCCGAATGGGACCCATATGGGTCCCTCATGGCTTGTATATATGTTAATGCTACGATTTTTTATAAAAGATAATAGCAATTTATGCCAAGGTGGTCACACTATAGCTCAAAGTAAACAAGTTCTAAAGAAATAAATAAACGAAAAATCGTTTTTCCTTATAGTGCTGTAATGTGGGACCCATATGGGTCCAATATGGGCGTACCCAAATGGACTTGCCCATATTGGTCCCATATAGGTCCAATATGGGCATACCCATATGGGCTTGCCTAGATATAGCCCATATGGGTCCCATATATGCATGTTTGCTGGGAAGACTATAATTGGCGTCCGCGGCAAAGCCCCTTTATGGAATGAAATCAGATTGTGTGAAAGGGCGACAGCAACTTCTCGAGCCTTTTAGTCGGTCATAATAAAAGCCAATCATTCCGATTAGTATGAGGGTGCTTGATTATTAATTAAAAATGAAATGTCGCGATATGTACAAATGAATAGCGAACTAGAAAATTTCGCAATGCAAACATTTTCAAATGAATTAACCTTCTCCGTCAATAAATAACGCTCTTCGGGGTTTTTCATTTATCATTGTGTAGTACACAGTGGGTTATTATGGTATGTCATTGTTGTACATGTATATATTATGATGAGTTGATGACCTAAACATTCCGAAAATCTATTTATAGAGGGATGTACTCCTATCGGTAATTCCCGGTCTCTCCCGGTCTATTTTGACCGGGATTTACTAGTTATCACACGTTTATTGTCCGGTCTCTCCAGGTTTTGGAGTAGATGTTTGATATCGTTACAGAACAGAACAAATATTTTACAGAAAAATAAGCTTTTTTCCAAAATGAAGGTTTGTCATATTTGTTTGTTTTGTAACGGCAGTCCTGGACTGCACCCGCAAAACGTGATTACAAACGTCGTAAACATTTCAAAGGGCGATAACTTCAGATAACTTGATAAGTGTAAATTACATCTTTACGGAACGCTCGTACAGTACAATGCAAACTCCTCGCAGCGGTTACTTCCCCTGATCTGTACAGTAACCACTGCCACCACAAGCAAATTCGGTCGAATATAGCCGGATATATTTTTTTCACTTTTAATTTTAAAATAGAATACTTTAATATCATTTTTAGTTTTCTTTCGTTAAATAGTTATGCTTAATGTACAAGAAAGTAAAAAAATATACGTATAAAAATTATTTTGTAAACATAACGAAAGATATTTTCACTGTGACATCGTACGCATAGTAAACAATGGCAGAATATAAACAGTTATTGAACGATTGCACAAAAAGATTTGATCCGGCACTTGTTTTAAAGTGATAACAAATTGTGTGTCTTGAACTTATTTTGTCTGGTAAGGATGTAATTATAAATCTGCAAGTTTGATATGGGATCCCTGGCGTTCTGAAACTGGCCGCCATGTTTTTGTCACATGACACAACTATCATCACGTGATTTCAGTGGTGGCAGTGGTTAAAGTAGCAAAGCGTGACGTAACCGCTGTGAGGAGTTTGAGTACAATGAAGCAGTACACCTCCTAGAGGTGAGGTTACATTTGTTATATAATCATTCAAAATGTTTCTACTCGAAAAGGGTTTTTTTCCTGTCTAACAATTGGAGCTTTTAAACGTGAGATTTGACAATTTAACCAAATCTGATGTATGGCAAGTATTAATGAATCTTTCTCATTGTAAGCGAAAAAAGTACTTCAAACAAGAAGTATCTTTAAAAAGATACTCGGCCGAAGTTTAACTATTTAACATGCAAAAGTATGTTATTTATAAGTTTTCAATACAAAAAGAAATGTAAGCAATGAATGCATTACAATTACATTATAATTAACTATTTAAGCTATTAGGAAAATATCCATTTTTCAAACATTGAAATTAAATAATAATGATATGAGTTTGTGTGTTTGTTTAATTGAATTTTACCTCACATCGACACATTAAAGATCATATGGCGACGTTCCAGCTTTACTGGTGGTGGACGACCTCAAGTGCCCTTCTGTGCATTATTTCAGGCACGAACGGGCACCTGAGTAGAGCCATCGACGTTCCGTAAGCAAGCTGGATAGCTATCTCATATAAAAGAATCCGAAGTCCATGTCGGGATTCGAACGTACAGCGAAGAATATTGGTAGTGATGAGATTTCAAAGAAGAACAACTTCTATTTAGGTGTCCTTTTACTTGTTTTCCGTTTGACTTTAAAAAAAATTGTAATCATTTACAAATTAAAGTAAAAGTTAAAGAACTCATTGTTGTACATTTTATTTTATAATTATTCTTTATTTTATAGTGACAAAACCATCCTTTACATTTTATTATAGAGCTATCCTTAACATTTTATTTAAGAATTCTTCTTTAAATTTTTAGAATGGTTAGAACGGTTCTTTACATTTTATTCTAGAATGACCAATGGGATTTAACTATTTCCGTTTATAATTTTAAAATGACCATTGCAAACTCATTTTATATTCAGTGCTTCCCTGTTGAATTTAAAGGAAGTCAAACCAAAAAAAAAATGATTATAAACTGAACTCAATAAAGGAGATGAGTAGTTTTTCAAGCATGAGCAATCCTTCATTTGAGCCGTGTCACGACAAAACCAACATAGTGGGTTTGCGACCAGCATGGATCCAGACCAGCCTGCGCATCCGCGCAGGCTGATCAGGATCCATGCTGTTCGCTTACAGACCCTATAACAAGTAAAGAAACTGATAGCGAACAGCATGGATCCTGATCAGACTGCGCGGATGCGCAGGCTGGTCTGGATCCATGCTGGTCGCAAACCCACTATGTTGGTTTTGTCGTGACACGGCTCATTTATGTTCGTGATTTTTGACTGCAATTATGGCGGGATTATTTTTCTCTTTCGTGCATTAAAGTCTGAAGAAGTACGAGACGCATTTAAAGCCCGTGTTTGCAGTGCAGGGAATTAAATTAGTCCTAAAACTTTATTCTAGCAATATGTATTCACGCGAGCATTCACAGTTATTTACGGTTGCTGATAAAATATGTCGTGTATTCGCATTCCATCTGTCCTATTTTCGCTTTTTCGCGTTCAAAATACAAAAATGCGAAAATACAAAGAGATATAAAAGCATAACTTTGTCGAATCTTCGCATTTTTACTTTTTTGCATTGTTACAGTTTCGCATTTTCGCGTTCCGGTTGTACATGCGCACGGAGACATCAATCTGAAAATACCTAAATGTTACAACTAATGACATGATTGTACCATTATTTAATTGTTCCCTTCTTGTTTGAAAAAACATTAAGTACCGTAAAATAAGAGAAGCACAGTATAATACAATATGATCTAAATACAATATACTTATTGATAATTTTTATGAATTTGAATTGTTCTCCTTACCAAGGTTACATATGTACAATGGTCAACGTAGTATTTCATGGGTTTTGGTATCTGAACATGTTATTTCTTGGTCGTCAGTGAAAAACCATCAAATGCCGTGGTCACATCATGGTCTAAGTGCTTAGTATGACCATGTAATAACATGGTCATTCTGCATATCAGTAAGCAATGATGAAATACCATGGTCTACAATGTAACAAAATCACAGGCCATGGGAAAAAGCATTATACTCACAGTAAATGACCATGAAGTACCATGGTGTACTATAAACATATTTTTTATGTCAGTAAATACAAAATGTACCTTCATAAATTAAATTAAACATATGAAACATTTTTTTCCTTCCCAAAAGGGATATGAGAGT